GGGTCGGCAATTGGAGCCTCTATCGCCTTCTTAAGAAAGACGCGCTGGGTTCGAAAGGACCCACAGCGCTTAGAGATCCGTCTCTCTCTCTCCAACTTGGGTGGAAGCCACCCAAGCCTTTTGTACGGCTAGCAAGCCAATAGCTAGCAGCCACGTGTGCCTAAATTAAGACCGGCCAATAATGTGGCTCAAATCTCAATACAAATGGCGGGAACTCCTTTGCAGCGTGCATCACTAAATGCAAGAGAAATGCACAATGCAAAGAAGGCTACAAAATGGCGGGAAACACTTTTCTGCACGCGGGTTCTCTATAACAACGGAACACTCCGTCGTGCAAAAGAGCTGCAATTCGGCGGGAACATAATTTAGCAGTGCCGAAGCGCACACAATCAAAAATCCACAACTTTGGGTTGTGACAAATACTACCAAGACAGAAATGTTATGCACTGTTATATGAATAATATCGCTTAGGGACACAAAATTACACAAACTGGTATACATGATCGGAAACCAGTTCAGATCTGTAACGCAACAAAAGTTCAGTGCACATCAACCACTTTCATAATGACTGAAACTGGTTTAAGAAGTCTGATACTACATCTAGACTTATAACTGATTTAGGTTAAGTCAGTTTACTGAACTTCTGTCCCACATCCCCTCTAGATTCAAAGTTAACTCTCAGTTCTCCAGCATCCTAGGATGCTTTGTACCTCCCCCACTATACCCCACCACCACTCTTGTAGGGTGGGCGGGCTAGCCTTGGCCTAAGCTGTCTGCCCCAGCTGAGCAGGGAGGCATGCTCTACTGCCCCTTGGATTCTGGCCTGAGCCACTGCAGGCATGTAGCTGCATTTCTGGAATCAAAAGTGAATGTCTGTTCACTTGCTTATCAGTTCAATCTACACAGCCTAGTCTAACCTGGAAAGATTGAATCAATTCAGCCTCAGGCTTTCTGACTGTACTTAAATGCTCCAGGGAATGATCCCTAGGAGGCAGGCTTGCCATTTTATCTGTAGCAGTCATGTTCAGGTAAGTTTTTCACTTTATAAGCCCCTCTACCACGTCCAGTATATAGAAATAAAGCAACAATCTAAAGATCGTATAAGACTTATGCAACAATAATCAGTGCAAAGGCAGTTTTCTGTGTTGGAAATCAGCATCTCCTGCACTATTAATGAAAAAGGGGTTTAGTTCGTTCACAAAAGGATTACTATAGTGTCTGGAAACCAGATGCTCTATATCAACATTGTATAAATTATTTAATCAACCAGTGAAGTTAACCATATTTAGTTTAGTTGCCCCAATCTTATTATTTCAGCCACAAAATAACCTCCTTCATTCCTTTACAGACTTAAACAAGACTTTTTTCCCCTAGCATGTGAGACGGTAGCAGGCAGCAGAAACAATACTTTGTCTTTAGCCCAACTAGACCAAAGAATAAAAGTCTTAATGTAGAGCTACACTCCTCAGCTATCAAGATTAGCTGGTTCCTATGTCTCCCCCACCTACTTGTTAAACTTAGCTTAAAAAGTTTTTTGATTATGGAAGAACTCCTGACTTTGCTTAACAGAGCCCCCATCCAGTTGAAGAATGCCAGAAATTGCCATAATGAATATTAGGCCAGATGCTACATATTGCTTGAAATCCCTATTCATATATGCCCCTCCCCCACAAATCCCCACCCCATTCTCTACACACATTCCCAGTTAGACCAGGGAAGGTTAAGTGTCACAGCTATGGAAGTGGGTTAGGCAGATAACTTCTATTCATGGACAAATGTGGCTAGATTAAGATGTCATGGTTGACCTTCAAGATTAAATTTTATTTTTTTGAAAAAAATTACACAAAATATAGATTTTACATTATCGCCAAGTGTGGTAATTACCATGGGACGCCTTTCCAATGGTGCAGAAGGTGACTTACCTTGCCAGATCTGCATACAGTAATGCAAAAAAGAAGACTGGAATAATCCACATCTGTTTCATATGACTACTTCTCACACAACTCATTTCACATAAACAATTGATGAAACTGTTTCTGCTACGTAGAATGTAGTACAATGTTTAAAGACAGCTTCGCCCCCAACTGCTGCACAAACCCACTCATATAAACACTTCAATGAACATTAGTATTTAAGTCGGCCTGAGGGGTGCTTTGACACTCAAAGACTAAAGCATGAGCTTCTAGGCATTTAATAAAAATCAGATGTTTGTAAACAAAGACTTACAATTTATTGGCATTAGTTACAAAATAAGATATTAGACCATGATTTACCATCATGTCTATCAGCATATACTTTTATTTTATTATAATGAAACAGAACGAGAAGCAAAATACATTAGGAATCCCAAATTAATCAAACCGCAAATAGGTCCCATGTTTTCTTCCTACTTGTTCTCTGCAGTTAGGCAACCATGCAAACAGGTGTGTGAATAATGTGACATCAATAACTGTCTTTCTGCAATGCCCACATGGCTAGATCCTGCCCCATGCTCCCTCAAGCAAAGGCATTTCACTGTCTTTACCACCCTTTGCAGTTTTCCTCCTCCGTCCTGGAGACACCTTGGAGTACAAAGCATATCACCATTGTCAAGACTGCACCGTCCCTTTAAGGTACCACATTCCACCATAGCTTACACAGCAATCCTAAGGAAGAAGGGAAAAGAGGTTACAGATACTAAAAGGTGATTTGTCTAGGTATTACTACTAACAACCCCCCCGTCCTTATCTATGAAGTGCAACAGCCCTTTAAACCTCTGTTACTCAACTAGCTAAGAAGGGGATATGATCCTACAACCTTCATAGGACTTCTTCCATGGGTAGGAGTTGCAAGATGGAGCCTCTCCATCTAACAGGCTTCTGGAGCTGCTCTTGTTACTAATCACATTTACCGTGGTAGGACCCAAGGACCACACAAGGCTGGAATTCTTCCTGGTGCTAGGTACCACTGTACCCCTCTCACCAGGCATGATAAGTTAATTTTGGAGGGGGAGCAGAAGTAGGAGGGACAGGTGTGGAGCAAAGTGGACACAAAGAAGTGGTGAGGAGGGGACAGCTTATAACAAAAACACCCAAATGTTGCAGGAAGTAGTGCAAGATCAAGGAATTTATTAGAATAAACTGCAAAACCACTGGATTATGCATTGATACTATAAACTGAGCATCTGGTAAACAGCCTGGGGAAGGTGAGATATTTAAACATCAATGAGTATTTTTTTCTATTTAGCAAACACTAATTCCAGTGACTTTCTGACACAGCATTCCCCTTCCTCCTCTTGCTCCCAGTCTCTAGTAGATGATTCAACAACGACTAACACATGCCCATACAAGTGCTGTTATGTGGCTTCAGAGAAAAGGAGCTCTGATTTTATTACTAAGCATCACGCCACAGCAGTCAAATGCACTGCAAATATTCAACCTTCAAAGAAGGAAGCAAGCTAGGAAGAAACAGCGGTTTATATCTGTAGATCAAGATTGCAGACCAAACACCCTTCAGCCTGTCCCTCTAGTCTTAACAAAGGAGTGGGGGGAGTAGGGGAAAGGGAAGAGAAATAAGGATTTGCAGTCAGGGCTTCATTCAGGCTGCAGTTTGACTGGAATGCAACCATCCCACTGGCAAAGGAAGGCACAGGAGTGACGCATGTGGTAATGGCTTAACTGTGCCATAAGGACTATTCTTGCACTGCCTGGACCCATGTATATTCATGGAGAAATTAAACATGACCCACACACCCCAGTCCTGCACCAAAAAGAGGTGGTTCTTAGCACATTGACATCCCCCACAGGTAAAGTCCTTGTTAAGTAGCAACACTGTGAGAACATACATCTTATCCAGAAGCTCTTGGTTGGTCAGAGTGTAGGCACCTCTGTCCTCTTGACACAAACTGTCTGTACCAGCATGATGTATTAAATTATAGGCAAAAATGCTCCAGACTCAGCAAGGCCAGATTCTTGCCTTGGAGAGCATGGACACATTCTTATCAAATCTGTCCTCTTAGCAAAGCAGAAGTTTTTCAGTTTTTCAAATGCACAACTGATCTATATACCAGCCCCTATTCAGCA